TATAATGTTTATTTCAGTGAAATAAATATTATATGCCATAGATAAATTTTCAAAGACTTTTTTCTCAGTGTACCCAGGTAGCACATATTGGTTTCAAATACGTTTTTTAAACGTATATATAGTTTCATAACCGTAAAGAACCATTGAGAAACGTTTGAACGGAAACGTTTTTGAAATCATGATTTAAGAAACGTATTTTGTTACGTTTCTACAGTTAATCTTTCAATATGCGCATGTGGGTGTATTTTACACTTCAGGCTTCTTCTTTTCCTAGATTTCACATAGAAGCAAATTTTTTGTGCTTCCTTCTTTAGCATTATCGAAAAACTATTAAAATAAAATTTTCAACCTATTTATAAAATATTTATTTTGTGTAGCACATGTTGGTTTCTATACGTTTCCTAAACATTTATTAAACATTAAATACGTTTATAATTATATAATAATAATATGTTTATTCCCTTGCGGAGTACATAACGGACCTCCGCTCCGTTTACACCTTTCTTAATCCTACTTACTTAATCTAATCTTATCCTTAACCTAACTTCTTACTTACTACCTTATACTAGAATACGTTTAAAATTATATGATCATATATGAAACGTGCTACCAGGGGTATGTCTCAAAAGCGTTATAAACATGACGAAAAGACGTTTACAACAGAAATTCCAAAGAAGTAGGAATTAAAGAAGTATCGGAAAAGAAACGTTTTTCGATAAAATAACGTTTAAGAAACCATTATAGAAACGTTTGTTAAAGCTAAAGGGAAACTTTTTTAATTCCTACTTCTTAGAATAAAATTGCTTCTATGTGAAATCTAGGAAAAGAAGAAGCCTGAAGTGTAAAATACACTCACATACGCATATTGAAATATTAACTGTAGAAACGTAAAAAATACGTTTCTTAAATCATGGTTTCAAGAACGTTTCCGTTCAAACGTTTCTCAATGGCTCTTTACGGTTATGAAACTATATATACGTTTAAAAAACGTATATGAAACCAATATGTGCTACCTGGGATACGTCTGTGTTGCAAAGATAATTGAGAATACGATAACAGATTCTTTGTTATAACGTTAAGGGAAAATTATTTTAATTTAGTTTTCGATGTTTGGCACATACCCGTGTCTACCAATGCAGGTTAGCTTTGATCTCGGTTTAACTTACTTTTTATCTTTTTCTGGAAAAAGATAAAAATCTGATTGCTGACTAATTTTAATCCTGGTTTAAGTAGATTTTTATCTGTTTCCAAAAAAAAGATAAAAAGTAAATTAAACCGAGAGCAAAGTTAATCTGCATTGGTAGTAATAGAAAACAGCTCGTGTTTGCTGTGAAAATTTTTGTAACCGAAATTGTTTTAATGTCTAGCACAAGAAAATTTATATAGCTTCTGGTTTCTAACATTTTACAACTACTATGGCAAATTAATCTGGAGGGCAAGAATTGTATCGAGAATGCAATATCTTTTATAGATATTTTTAACCTTAAAAATATTTTCTAAATCTTTTTCAACGTTATTATTATTATATTTTTTATGCGGCACATTTCCATATTTCCTATTTATTAATACGAGATAGTTATACGAGTTTTCACAACGTGTGCAATTTAGTCTGATCGACCCATTTTTATGGATTTTGTCATATCTATACAGCAACATATTTGTAAACTAGTATCTTGAACATAATTTCACTTTTATTACTTTATGTATAATAAAAAAATAATATAAGTCTTGAAATTTATAAAATTGCTCCTATTATTTTATCACACATACATTGTGCATAAATCGCACATAATGTACAATACAACAATATACTTGCATTTCTTGCTTTATCTTAATAGGATTCAACCCGTTAAAATCTTGCTAATGGATGTTTGCAATTACGATATTGCTGTTGCTGAAAATGGCTCGTGAGCTGGAATAAATTGCCGTACGTCGCTAATCAAATTTTCCCGTGGGCGTCGAGAAATGAAACGCACTATGCGAGAATGAGATAAAACGAGTCATCATTTTAGATCGGAATTCCTTTTCCTTTTGTTCTTCGTAAATCAAGTAAGAAGTCGAGGAAATCATTCAGGTACATTCTACGATTTCTGTCGAGTCCGGTTCTAGTGAGGCACAATTAATTTTCATTGATGTTGATTCTAAAAAGTTCAATAGTACAAAGGGAGCTCGTAAAACTAGAAGATTTCGCGATTTGACTTAATGACGAGTTGATTTGAATTAACGCTCGGTCAATTAAACGATCGCATGTGAGCACACGATAATCATAAATCATATTTTAAATGACACACCGTGTATAAGTGTTTTAAATAATATTGGGCAATTTTTTTTTAAATTATCATCTTTTAAATTCCCGAATAAGAACCCAAAATATTAAAAAATCGACGCGTATCACTTGATGAAGATTGCACAGAGAAAGAGGAATTATCGAATCGGAATATGACTGACAATGAGCAATAGTAAGTAGGTTTTTTCATCGGATTGATTGCTGTTGCTTTTTCCTCGCTAAACATTTTTTCACGGACAAATTAAGAGGTGAATAAATTAAGAGGCGACAATTAAATTAATCCGTACACGTGGCAGGGTAGGGTAACGTGAAGCGTGTATCAGCGCGAGTCGGGGCCCCGCAGTGGGAGAAAACGGCGTGTTCTATAAGGTGGACAGGTATAAGGGACTTGAGTTAGTTTCATCTACGCTCAGTACACGTTTCGTTAGTCGTCTCGAAGGAAGTCGACTCATCATCGCGTCTTACCGTCGCCGAGAGAGCCGTGCGTTTTCATTCCACTTTTTGTTCGTCCGTCCTCAGGTGTGGCACGCACCTTTCTCGAGGTGTCGAGGGCAAATCGAAGGGCAGCAAGTCGCATGAGGCCGTCGGGTGAGCAAACGATATTAAGCGCAGCTTCGATAAACGCGAGGAGGGAGGGGCATGATTCTCCGTGTCTTAATTTCAATTTAGCCGATTCCAAAGTAGAGCGAGAGTAGAACGTTCGCAGAAGTTCTCTGTGTGACGTGTAGATAAGATGATACATAATGTTTTATTACACACGCACGTCGGAACATGGCACACATACCGCCCGTCGTCGTGCCACAGACGGATGAGTAATCCTTTTCACATTGCTTAATATATCATTGATCAAATAAATTGATCGAGTTCATCGATATACGAGTTCTCAGCGGAGGGGAAGCGCTACCAATTACTCACTACACACCTGTCGACTGCGACGACAGTTACGTTAGATCGAGTTGATTAAATTCGTATTTAACATAATCTCAAGACCACAGTCCAGATTTCGTCACGGTGCTACCGCGTGCGCCAAGTGTATTTATTTGGGAGGGAAAAAAAGTGAGAGTTATAACTGTATTATCCACCTGTGAAATTCGCACAGGTATAAGCCGGTCGCACGCCGAAATTCACTTCTTCCGCCTCTGGATCGAATTAAACGTCACGTAAGTTAACGTAGGTTACGGATGATGACCGCGATTCTCTCGGAGTTGTTCTCTGCGTTCCCGATGAGGCCACACCATCGGTGGCCGTGAATCTTACGTCTTGGTGCTCGAAGGAGATTGCGTGCTCTCGTGCTGTTTTCGAACTTTTAAACTCGCTCGTGCCTGCGTGACGCACGCACTTCCGTTCACCGAACTCGCGTTCGTAGATACGTGCAAAATGCATGACGGGACGTCATACGTTTTGTCAGATCGAACATATGGTTAATCGATTGTCCGCGGACGCAGCGTGATACTTTGCGTTTCTGCAGCATGCGAATTGAATCGAGACCGATTGGGAAATATATACAGTCAATAAATGTGTCGATTAATTAATTTTATAAATTTATTAATCTTATAAAATGAGCTCGAGAAACGGGTTGTGGATTATTTAAGTACCACTGAAGATGATCTCAAGGCAGTCAAGTCTCAAGGCAGATCGAAATGTTGGTTTTAATTATAAAGACCGGAATTGAATTTATATTAGAGTTGTGACAAACAGCGAATCTTGAGTTAATCTTCCTTGATTTTAATTATAAAAATTTGAAATATGTTACACAATAGACGTAACGAATGGAGAATTTTAATGTACGGTCAAGTAGGCGACAGTGGATCAGGTGTACACAGTGAATCTTTTGTATTTTGAGGAATGGACTGATGCTGCTGTTATTTTTTATTTAAAAACTGTTTAGCATATAGACATATTAGGATTAGAACTCGCGCGGAAAAAAAAGACAGTTAGCAACCCATTTTTGGGACCCACTATTAGTAATCGAATTATTTGGATTGTTCGTAACTCTAATCGTTTACAAATTTTACCCCGCGTAACTAAAAATCGCAATTAGCTATTCCATCTATATCCAAGATTTTTAAGTAATACTAATCAATTCTCTCCATTAGTTATGTCGTTATTCAGTAACGCAAAGATAATTTTGACTTAAGAGGCACTAACCGGTCAAAATTTTTCCCAGAGTAGAGTTACGAACAATTCAAATTATTCGGTTACTAATCGTGGGTCCCAAAATGGGTTGCTGTCCTTGTTTTCCCAGAGCATACAGAGCGGCAAATACGTTTTAACCAGATATTTGGGATTCTTCGGTGTCAAGGTTGTTACTCGAGACGAGTATTCTTGTTTTGGAGTAAAAAATATTAAGAAACAAATTTTTACATTTCTATTATAATTTATGTTTATTTATACTATTTTACGATTATGACGATTAATAAATAAGGTTACAGTTTGTCAGTCTTACAGTTTGAAAGAACCAGAGGCGGGCGGATAAACAGTGGATCAATTCCCGGTATATAAAAAAATCATAATCTACTGTGTACATGTAATTACTACTACTTATTGCTATTACAATTACTGCTTATTACTGCACGGAAAAAATGCTGTTGAATTGAACAAAATGAAGTTGCTTGAATTTAACGTCAGGGCCTACCACAAATATAAATAATTCACTCTATTGTATTTGCTATGGATTTTAATTTTAAGCATTGAACTAAATATACAAATTATTAAGACAACAATCTGATGTTTGATGCAATTACACTGATCTTGTTGATACAACATCATTCCTTTTTACATGCAGTTAAGCAGAATCCTAAGGTGATTATATTAAACTAACAACTCCACTACTAATAACACAAGTAAATAATTTTCTTGATTGATTAAAATTCCAGTTATTTCCAGAATTTCCATACTTAAATTTATTGTGTACTACTGAATGATGCACAGTGTACACCCCTGAGTATACAGTGGATTAATTTCCTACTTTAAAAAGGTTCCAACTGTTGTTGTACTTGGAAGAAATCTGTGTATAAAAGAAAGTATATAATGATGAAGAAATAATAGTGTGTAAATTGAGAATGTTCGGATGCTTATTTACGAAGATATGGTCTACAGAAATTTATGATTCACTGTCGCCTACTTGACCCTATTAACTTAGATTGTATTCACTCAGGAGCCTTTGGATTTTTGTTTACCTCAATTTTAAATCTATCAAATTTATGTGTACGAAATGCTTCGTTATTGCGCAGAGACGCTTCTGGGATGTCCCGGAAGCGCAGAAGCGCGGGGAGGTCAAAATGCTCGAGAGGAATTTTCTGCATGGGCGGGAGAAGGGACGTTTTGGAAACGGCCGGAATGCGCACGTACGCGATTTCTTACGGGGACACGCGCGTCGTCAGAAGAAAGTTGATTTGCATCTCTAGCAGTATTCCGTTCGACGTTTGAACGCGATCGTTTTTCCAATCGCCCAAACCAATTAGATAAGGATGGCTCTTTCCAGTCACGTCTCGAGCCACGCTCGGACGCGTTTCGGTAGCCGGTGTCCCGCTAACACACTTAACAGACGCAACCGGATGCTAAGGCCGTGCTATTGGCCGTTATTAAACACGTTGTCGCGTGCAACCGCGTTCTACCGCGCGCGGTAGAACTCGCGCGCTCACCTCCGCGTGTTTTTACTCGCGAGCCGCGAGAATTTCGGCCGTGTGCCGCGCGGGGAAATTAGCGTAGGCCAGCGGGCCGGGATCCCGTTATCGGCGATACGCGCGGCCTAAGTCGGTTATCAAAGTGCGTGAAGAAAAGTAAATAACATATGCAGGTACGATAACTTCTCGCGCTTCCTTGCAGTCGGCGTGCGCGAGACGGCCGGAAGGTCTCCGTCAGCAACACCTGTCCCAGCCACTTACGTGGCTCGACGGAAGCCGTAGTTTTGTTAGCTGCCAGTGGTAATAACGACTCGCTAAACGGTCTTCATTCACTCACTCGTCCCTTATCGTGTCCGTGCCCTTAAGCCCAGCCTCGGATTCTCGTGCGAATCGGCGGCTCGTCACCGGGAGATTCTTGAAAACTTGTCGCTCGCCAACGTGGAGCCAACCTTCCGCGATTCGTAACTCGGCGTTCGCCACTCGTTCCAGGATTTATTTTGCGATTCTTATTCCTCGATTTACGGCCCGTAATTATATATTCTTTTATATCCTTGACAAGTGCGAGAACACGCGATTGCCCGCGTCCGTTCCCGAAAGCGCGTGCCGAAATTATTAATATTTACAGGTGTAAACAGACTGTGCCGACGTTCGCCTCGTTGACTCTAGTCGGCAGCGATTTTGGCATAAAGGCACCGTGTGTTACGTAAAGTCGATTACATTGACTACGTTCTACAAAAAAACTACTTTGTAACAGTTATAAGATACCCGAATCTGATTAGCATATGCTTTTAGATTCAGTCGAGAAAATATGTGTCAATCAGATTAAAGATTTGTATAACAGTTACATAGCAAATTTTTATAATAGTTATATACACTGAGAGTTATATACACTACAATTTTGTTGAATAAAACGAAATAATTAAATCATTTTGTTGACTGAACATGTAATTTGGTTGTATAAAACGAAAAATATGTTGCTGAAAAGAAGTTAACTGTTACAACAACTAAATATTTTGTTTCCATGAGTTGTTTATTTGAACAAAATTTTATGGTTGAGATAACAAATTCGTCCATCACGGACGGTTCTTTCGGTTCTTTTGCGTCGATCAGCAGAATAAGCGAAACTGCACTGAGAGACCCATTTTGTTGAATGAAACGAAACAATTTGATTGAATTATTTTGTTGACTGAATCGTTTAGTTGAATATTATAAAAGAATTCTGCGCGTGTTCACTCAACCTTTGTGTGTTGATAAAACAAAATTTTCCAACTAAATTTTTATGTTGTATCAACTGAAAATTTGTTTGCTCATATCCAAACAAGAAATTCAGTTGAGTCAACTAAATTTTGTTTCATTCAATAAAATGGGTCTCAGTGTATAGCAGCTTTTTCTGCTGAACGCAACCCCTTCAGGGGTTTATTATTAACCCCTTCGCTGGTATTGACATTATTTGGCAAAAGACGTGCCCAAGAGGGCATTGATAAAAATTTTCCGTGTGTTTCAGCTTTTAACGTTACACCGTAAAGATAATGTCGCGTCGCGTCGAGAAAAAACCGTGCCGGTGAATCGGCACAGTTGATAAGTAAAAAGATTACGAGTGCTCGGCGAATTCGCCGATTCACGCTGCTCGCAAGTCTCGCGGGCGAGTAACGCGCGAATCGAGGATAGTCCTTGCTAAGCTAATCCGAGAATCGCGCTCGTCGGTTACGTGTGCGTGCGGCGACGAGTTACTCGCGAGACGTTCGCTCGTCGTGGTTTATCGAGCGATCGGCCGAAGGGCAGGGGGACGTCGGAGAAAGTGATCGCCGAAAAAAAGCGGGGGCGAATCTCGGCCGGCTCGGTTTCGCGGTCATCGCTACGATCGTGACCATGGTCACGATCACGCTCGCGCTCGTCCACGCTCCTCGCATAACGGGTTTCCCGTGTAACGGACCGCTCGGACCTCTCCGCTCGGTTTCTCCCCGGTTGCATCGCCTCGATTGTCAGGACAGTGACCTAGAATTCCCCTCGCTCGCATCCGCCTCTCTGTCCACAGTCCGTCGATGTTTGCGCTCTATCGAAATTGTATTATCGTTACTTAGCCGCGTCGTCGAGACGCAGGCGGGACCATTGGAATTCGTACCGCGTACACTTTGGAGCGCGAAAATCATGACGGAGCGGAAGGGTGAACGGGACCGGTCGGGGTTATCTGGGTTGAATGTTAATTTTAATCGACCCAATTGGCTAAGTTTATTAGAAATGACACATCACAACGTTTTAACAGTTGGTTTTGCTCCTTTCGAGTAAATTCGGTAATTGTGCAGAAATTGGCGCTCCAGCAGGAGTTGCGAGTTTTTTTTAGTGGCTATCAACGAAGCAAGCTATAAAAACGTATGTACGCAAGGTTTTAATAGAGGACTTCAAGTTTTTGTACGAAAAATTTAGGTTTCTTATTTACTCAATACTACTCGTATAGTCGGAATGAAACGTTGACAAGAATGAAAAAAATCCATAAACACGTTCACAACGATCCGGAAAAGTAGTTTTGTGAAAAT